AAAGTGTGTGTCCCAGAGTTCACGCATTAAAACAGAAGCCCGTTGACGGGGGCCACAGGTGTGATGCTTAATTGGGTGTGACCCGATTAATTGGTCCCTCTAAGTGTGGGAACAGTTGTGGCAGATTGAATTATCTCGTTTCTCACTGAAAAGCACGTGGAAACAGCATGGTGGAAAAGGATGAGGCTGCTTGGCTGCCCAGAAACAGACGCAGAGGCAGCAGACTCAGAAAAACACAAGGTGCAGGGACTCCAGAGCCAAAGCAGGTTGGGGTGGCTTAATGTCCGGACGAGCAATTCTAAGATGAGACGGGCCTCTTAGAGTAAGGGGATGCCACACGTGCTGCGGTCTGAGCACCACCTTTCAGGTGGAACAGTTCTGGATCATTAACTTGGGAAATGCTAGAGAAATGAGTCTGATTTCCCTTGTAACGTGCTCAGGCGTCTAGGAAAGGAAAAGAAAAAAGTCTTGTCTGCCATATTATTAAAAATGGTAGTATTTTCTTCTGATTGCAAGGTAATTGTTAGTTGTAGAAAAGCACAAGAGGATAATAAGTTAACCTAGAATCCCACCTCTGGTCTGGTGTGTATCCAGCCAGTCCTTTTTTAAGGCAGATATATATATATATATATATATATATATACACCACACACATAATATATATGTATGTGTGGTATATAAAATATACATTTTAAAAGGATACGTATGTACACACATATATAAAATACATATTATGCAAAAATATGTATTATATATAATATATTCTAAGGAATATATGTACATTATATGTGTATGTATATAAAATATACATTTTAAAGAAATATATATACATATGCTGTGTGTGTATATATATACACATATAGTAGTCATTGGGGGCTAAGTCAAAGCACTCACCAGAAACCCATTGGATCAATCATAAAAGAGGATATAGAAGATTCTATGTGTTTTACATGGGACAGAACTTTTTTTGCACGTTACAGTTGGAGACCTGCTGAGCCGACGAGAGCAGGGAGCAAAGGGAAGCTCTGTCTGTGTCTGCCTTGGTGCTCAGATCATCCTGGCCTTAAGATAATTCCAAATCAAGGTGGAGAGCTCGAAAATGTTCCAGTTGACCTCTAGGATTTAGTCATTTTTGTAGTAACATCAAGCTTCTGTTACTTTTGTATATTTTAGTAGATTTATTGTTGTGTATGATTTCATCTTAGGCAGTGGTTATATTCTAAAATCAGGGCATAGGTAAAGGCACATCTGAAATAAATGCATGTAATTAAAAACAGTGGGGTTATGTTGTAGTATAGTTTTGGACACTTTTAAAATTTTAAACTTAACTCTAGTTTAAACATTCCTTAAATCAATAAATATTTTTAGTGAGTACTTAGTCATCTGTCTTTTGAATGTGCCATAGTTTCTTTAACCAAGTGCCTTGGATGTTAAGGTTGTTTCTAGATTTTGATGTTATAAATGTGATGAATTAAGGGCATTCAAATTTTTATGCACGTCATTGGGGAAAATTCCTAGTCATGGAACTATAAGTCAAAAAGCGAGTAATTTTTTTAAGGCAAATAATTTGACATATATTACTAAATTGCCCTTCAGAAATGTTATACTATTTTCCTTTCCTTCACTCCCATAGTTACTGATATTTTAAAAGTCATTAAATCATTGTTTTTGTAGAGTTAATTTAAGTTCTGGCCTGGCTTATTAAATAATGAAATAATTTATTTTTTCCTTTGTGACCCTATAATTTATACAACCCATGGCCAAAAATGGAGGAACAAAAAGAATAAAGAAAATCAAGCCTGTGGAGCTGCAGGACTGAGAGGCGATAGTCAGCTCCCTTGCATGATCTCTGTGAGCTGGGCAGTCTGGTAGTGTGGCGTTTACTGACATGACTCTCCTCGGATCCTGGAAACGTACGCTTGTACGAGGTAGTCGCAGGTCTAAGTGGTTAAGCCTGTTTCCTGTGGAGAAGGAAGTAACACAATCTCATGGTTGATTTACAGTGTGGAAAACCTACTGGAGCTTTCATTCAGGTAACGCTTGGATTGACTTAAATTGTGTGTATTCAATGGCATTGTTGCTATTGAAGCAAGTGAGCTGCTGGGCGGGGGACTGAGAACCTGCAGGCATTGCCACTGGGACGGAGACCTCCCGTGCTGTGTGCAGTCAGCTCTGGGGTATAGCCATAGAGAGAGGAGTTAGATCATTCCTTCCCCTGTGCTTCTCATTTCATTTCTGTTTCCCACTCTTTTTTTCATTATAGTTGCATGATTTATCAGTTTAGTCCATGGTACATTAGATTTGAGGTCTATTAATTTTCTGTCCTTCAATTACTACATATGTGTAACTAACACATGAAAGATGATGAAAAATTAAGTACTAGCACGATAGGTGAAGCAATGATGGTGTTCAGGTCTTGTTTGTATTCCTAATCCCCATCCTAGTGCCTAACACAGAGTAGGTACGTGTTATGGGCTGAACTGTGTCCCCTCAAAATTCATATGTTGAAGTGCTAACTCCCATTATCTTAGAATGGACTGTATTTGGAGATAGGGTCATTAAAGAGATAATTAAGTTAAAATGAGGCTATGAAATGAGGTGGGCCCTAATCCATATGACTGGTGTCCTCGTAAGAAGGGGAGATTAGGACAGACACACACAGAGGAAAGACCATGTGAGGACACAGGGAGAACATGGCTGTCTGCAAGTCAAGGAGAGGGGCCTCGGAAGAGACCAACCCTGCTTACACCTTGATCCCACACTTCCAGCCTCCAGAACTGTGAGAAAATCAATTTCTGTTGATTAGCCACCCAGCCTGTGGTACTTTGTTACGGCAGCCCCAGCTAACTAATACCGTATGTTATCAACATTTGTTGAATTAATGATTGTCTTTTGAATTCCCCTGCTCACTTTTAAAAATCATATTTGTTGCCGAATGACTTTAACTGGGTCGCGACATTTTCTGCATAAAACTTTTCACTATGGTGAGGCAGTCACCTTGCTTATTCTAGAAGGGTATAAATAAGCCTTGCAAGTGAGGATCTAATTAGGAAACTGTCAGGTAAACAGATGATGTCTCACTGGAAGCCCCTTACGGAAGCTTCAGACTGCTGAGCTTTGTGATTCAAAGACCCTCTCCTCCGTTCAAATTCATTATGCATTTCACTGATTTGTTCGTACTTTTTCTTTCTCCCTGAATTTTTTCTGCCTACCAGCCTGCTTTTATGTAAGAATCTGTTTTCCCTAAGCTCACTGGCTTCACTTAGAGTCTTTAAACTGAAGTGTAGTGAGAATTAAATTTATTCTTAAAGGCATGCCTGCTAGGTAATTTTAAACACACATTAATGTAACTGTGAAATAGGTACCTAGACAAAGGAAATGACAGGCATTTTAATTAATATGTGAAAACATTGATTTCTTTTCCTGACTTGGCTTATGAATTTGTTATATCTCTTCATTTCCTGAAAAATGAGAGTGATGCAAGAATGCTTTGCGTGTCTTCAGGTTTCCAGTGTGTTCTAAATGTCTTGCCAACTGGTGTTAACCCTGAGCCTCGCTCTGCTCTCCTCCTCTGCTCCAGGGTGCATCTCCACGTTAGGTACTCACCTCATGTGCTCATGTGGCTGATAGACTTGTTACCGCACAAAATTGGGGTTCTCTTGCCTGATGTGCAGAAACAAACCAGTTAATTATGGCATCAGCCTTTGGGAAAGAAATCCACTTTATTCTGTGAGATTGATCTGCAGGGAGACAGGGGGCTTGTGCCCTTAGATGTGTCTCCCCACTTCAGGATTGGGGCCAAATTTAAGAGGGAGAGCAGGCTGGCATGTGGAAACACTGGCGGAATAGGTTTTGACTGGTGGGCTTCAAGCACTTATGGTAAGGTTCTATACATATATGATAAGCTTCTAAACATTTATGATGAGGTTCTAAACTTTTATGGTAAGATTTTCAACATTTGTGGTAAGGTGGGGAAGGAATTTTAACACTGGATATTCCGGAATGACAGACCTCTCACTTCTGATAAGAGTCTGACTCTTAAGTTCTGGTTGTGTCCCGATCCTTTGGGTCCGCGGGGAGGAGAATCTTTGGTTCAGCCATTATTTCAGGTCAAGACCTCTTCTTCTGCGCATGCTCTGGCCACGTGACTTTACAAATTTTCTGAAAGACAATTCTTAATCACTCTGTTGATAGGATGGGATCAGTTGAACTGGTCCTGGAGGGCCCGCGGTTACACACTGGCTTGTGGGCTCCCTGATGGTAAGGACGGTGTCCTATTGGAATTTCGGATCTCCCTTAACTCTGCCAAGTGCCTTCATGTGCTTGCTATGTGTGTGATGAAGTGAATGCAGGACTTGGCAAATGTGCAAATAATTTTGGGTCACCAAAGTGAGTCACTTCGTAAATTGCTTCTTAAAGACTCTATATAGTAGCCAAGTTGCCTGAAATAGTTTACAAGTGTTATACCATTATAGATGCTCACTGTATTTTTAGGTTAAGATAAAAATGAGGTTCATTAAACTTGGAAGGTTAAGCAACCAATCTAAAGCACATTGTAAACTTACCTGGGTTGGGATTTCTGAAGAACATGCAAGGTAGTGCTGTACTTACAACTGAATATTTTAAAAACCAAACAAAATTAGCTCAGTGCTCACAAGATCATCTTTCATAGTCTGTAATAGCAGGCATACTTGCTGTCAAAATAGTGTGAAAACATATAGCGTGAGTCAAAGAAATGATGCCATTGATGTAATAAATAAATTGTTTATTTACTGACACATTTTGCTCTGGCTATGCCTTTTTCTTTTTTACCTCTGAGGAAGATTAGCCCTGAGCTAACATCTGCCAATCCTCCTCTTTTTTTCTGAGGAAGGCTGGCCCTGAGCTAACATCCTTGCCCATCTTCCGCTACTTTATATGTGGAACGCCTACCACAGCATGGCTTGCAATGCCGAGCCATGTCCGCACCCGGGATCCGAACTGGGGAACCCCGGGCCGCTGAAGAATGTGCACACTTAACCACTGCGCCACTGGGCCAGCCCTGCTTTGGCTATGTCTTAAAAGACAATAATAAAAACCTCCCTCTTTAATTAGCTGACATAACTGATAATCAAGTATCTCAAGTGTTCTCATCATATCCTCAACTTACTTATTGGGGATCTAATATATATAGAAGATACTGCTTTGGGGTAAGACACTACAATTTTGTGAACACATTATTACATTTATAGGACATTCGTAAATATTAAATTTACAACCCTAGAATGAAGGCAGAGTGAATACTCCCTGGAAAGATGGGGAAACTGATGCTCATTGAGACTGTGATATGTTCAAGTGCATATGCCTAGTAACTGACAGAACTGGAACCGGAACTTCCATTTCCCTGTTTTCAATACTGTGGTCTTTCTACCAGTTCTAAAAATATTACATGTTTATAAGAAAAATGGTTCCTAGGTTTAATCCATGAGTCTAGTCATGTGTATAATCACTGCGTTAACGGTAGTGCTGGGTGCTGTAACTAACACCATAGCTCCAAAATTTTTAAGATAAGATTTAACCTAGAGAACATAAGAACTTGTATAATAATGAGGTTTTAATTTATTTTATTGAAATAAATATATTTTAAAATGATTTATGCAAGCACATCTACCAACCCATGAAACCCTACCCACTTCCCCATCTCCAAATATTGCCCTATAACCTGATGCTCAACAACAACAAAAACGCTTAGTTCACACAGTTGTCCTTTATTGTACCTGAAGACTGAACTAATAAAAGCCACCAAAAAAAGTTTTCTACCTTAAAGTTTGCGGTAGAGCTAGATGGAATAACTTTATTATTATTTGAATACTTGGGCTTATAACTCCTTAGAAATGGTCTGTACCTTAAAAGAGCATGTGGCATAAAAAAGAAGATAAAAAAGGCACATGAAGGTCTTGACGTCTAGTGTAAATGAATGATATGGTGGGTAAAGGAGAGATAAAGGAATTAAATGTTGGTTCTCATTTTAAAGTCTTTATGGAGGATGTGGGTCTTAAGCCACATTGTAGAAAACTATTATGCTAGAAGTGAGGTGGTGTAGGGTAGTGATTAAGGGTGGGTGCTCTGAGTCTGATATCTTGGATTTAAATCCTGGCTCCACATCTTAGTAGCTAGGTGGCCCTAGACAAGTTACTTAAATCCTTTTGGCCTCAGTTTTGTCATCTATAAAATGGGAAAGTCAGTGTTACGACTCATGGGGCTGTGAAGATTAAGGGCGTCAGTACCTACCAAGCACATGGAACAGTGCCTGGTGGGTAGTAAGTGCTCAGAGAGTGGTAATTACATGGGAAAGCTGAGGATAGAATTGCAATGTGGAAGAGGAATTTGGGAAGCCAACAGCAGCTCCATGTCATCAGGTCATGTTATATGTGACAATAACTCAATCCCCAGGAAGACTCCTGACTAGTTTCAGGTCTTATGGAATATTGGAGAGAGTAAGACCAACCTGGGTTCATAGCTTGTCCTGCCGTTTACCTAAACTTCAGTTTCCTTGTAGATTGTTTTGAGACCTAAAAAGAGAACCTGTAATTCAGTTCAACAAACATATATCGAGTGTCTGTTGTGTGCATTGAGTGATACCAGCCACTTTTTTAGGAGCTGAGGTTATAAAGAGAACTAACTAACTTTCTGGCCTGGAGGAGTTTGCATTCTGGTGTTGTTAAGTAAGTATGCCTGCTTAGGCACAAAGTGGGTAAAGAGTTAGCATGGTGCTCAGCACGTAGTAGGTCCTCAATAAATGTCAATTATCATCCTTCCTTCAGGACACCCTTCATCCAGCGGATCTTTAGATCAGATTCGTGCTAGGCTTACCATGCAGTTATTTCGGGCAGGGATTGGCAGACCTCTATAAAAGGCTGTAGTAAATATTTTAGGCTTTGTTATCCATATCGTCACTGTTGCAATTACTCAGCTCTGCTGTTGTAGTGAGGAAGTAGCCATAAACACTATGTAAATGAACGCAAGTAGCTGTGTTTCAGTAAAACTTAATTTACAAAACAGGTAGCTAGGAGGTAACTGAAGTGACCTGCCTCTGTTGAGACATTGGATATTGACTGTTGACCTCGATGTACTTTATTTGTAGTGGGTCAACTCATAAAACATGCCTGGAGAAGGAAGGAGTTCTGTTGTTGAAAGAAGTGAACTGTATTTGCCTGCCTGAAATAGGATAAAACTGGGATGTTTGGGAAGTGAGAGTGGCAGAGTGGTGGGGCCACACAGAGGGGTGGTGTGGAGTCCACCATGAAAACATGGTGGAGTGTTTTGTGGGATGGCTTTAAGAAAGGAATGAAGTGGTCAGAATAATAGATGGATGTAAATTTCAACCACATCATAGAAGTTGGTGTGCAGGTGAAAGAGGAAGGGTGAAATGGGTTGAAATGGCGATGAAGGAATGTCATAGATTCATAGATGTTGGATTCCAAAAGGACCTTAGGATTGGGTCCAGTCTTCCCATTTCAGTGATAAAGAAATCGAGACCCAGAGCGGGGCAGTGACGTGGGTAAGTTTGAACCTCCTCTTAGTGGACAGCTGGCTCTTGAACCCAGAATCCAGATTTCCTTTCCACTATATCCTTCAGCAATATAATGCCAAGAACTTTACGAAAGACGGGAACTATGATTGATCCCATCGCTAGAATGCTGTTGCAATTGTTCTCTCATTTCCAGTACAGTGTTTCTATAGCCAGTGAGAAGGACTGATGACATTTTTAGGTTGATTTTCTTTTAAGACCACCCTTTATCTTGTAATAGTTAGGGTGGAGTTTTGCTCGGGCTCCTAACAAACACTTGCCGTTATATACTGTGGCCATTAGATTCATTGTAATGAAGTTTCTAGGACAGGTAAAAATGTAGGCCCCAAACAGGTTCCAGCTGGCAGGATGCTGAGCTGAAGCCCTGTTTCTGTGCAGGCTGTGATTTTGTGATTTTATTTACAAACATTGATTTCAATCTTTTTCAGTTTCCTGGAAACGTTTCTGTCTCTGGATATATTTTTATAGCTTTGGCTGCATTCCAAGATGCTGGTTTAAGGTGGGTCAGACTTCAACAAAAGTGGTTAACTCACTTTTATACCTAAATTTCAGGGAACAGAGAGGAACAAAGAAAAAGGACTAAAGGAGTGTTCCAGTTCAACCAAGGCCATCTCGCCTTAGCATGATACAGTCTCTAAACCCTGAACTATGGCAGAATTCCTAATTAAGTGAATGAGTTCATCAGATGTTGAACTGGCTACCATGTACAAACTACAGTGCCAGAATAAATGATCATACTTAGCATTTGAAAATGTGCTGGACCCTGTGCTAGTAAATTATTAATATTAACGTCATTACTATTATTTCCTAAGATGTTAGACTAATACCCTGTGATTCTTGTACGTGCAATTTAAGGCAACTAATATATGTCTTACACTATTATTAGAATTTCTAGTAGTATTAGTAGTCATTTTAGTATTCAATTTAGTAGTCATGAAGCATTTTTGGTTAATGGTTATTGTGAAAATGTTGTCAGGAACTACGTGTATACTTGCTTTAGACACAGGATGGACATCTGCATCTGGGAGTTTTATCTCATACTTAAAATCATACCTTTAGAGCTGGAAGAGTTTTCGGAGATTCTGTAATCCAATATCCTCACGTTACAGATGATGAAGCTGTGGTCTGGAGAGCTTAAATCATTTACCTGGAATCCCTATACAGTTAATTAGTAGCAGAAGTAGGACAGACAGTCCAGCTCGATTCCTAAGAAGTCAGGAGTAATGAGAATTTTTTTCTTTTGGGATAGGAGCAGATTTTGAGAATGGAATCTCTACAGTGGTTTCCTGAGTCAGCCTTTGTACTCTATTTCTTCTGGACCCTGACACATAAACCAGCCTTGTTCCCATCTCCTGAGCATTATAAAAATTTGGCAAGTTTTGTAGTGCCTGCATGTGCAGGGCACCAAGTAAGTGGCCTTGGGGAAATCACAAAGGTGTAAGGCAGTCCCTGGTCTTAAGAATTTACCAAGAGCCCTGCCGGTCTCCACCCTGAAGTGGGGAAAGGGTCAGGATTGCTATAGGGATGGGAAGTTTCAGACTAGGCAGATTCTTACTGGGATTCAAGATAGGTCCAAAAACTTGGACTTTTAACCGTTATGCTTTCTTGCCTCTTTAACTGTAACTACAATGCCATTACCACATCTAAAACATTAACAATTTTTTAATTTCATGAAATATCTTGGTCTCATCAATGTCATAATGTTTTTTCCACCTGCAAGGATTTAAAAAACTTCCACATGAGGCCCACGCATTGCAATTGGTGGGTATGTCTTTCAAGTCTCCTTTAATCTAATGAGTGCCCCACCTATTTTTTTCTTGCAGTTTAAATTTTGAAGGAATCAAGTTATTTGTCCTCTTAGAATTTCCCACAGTCTGGATTTTGCTGAACGCATTCTTTGTGGTTAGATTAATATGTTCCCCTGGCCACTGTATTTCTTGTAAATTGGTAGTTGAATCTGGAGGTTTGAACAGATTTGGGTTTAATTTTTTTTGGCAAGACTACTTCATACTTCAGAGGTGGTGGTGCGTTCTCACATAGATTCTGAAAGTTTGTAGGAAAAGGAATGTGTAGCTCCAAGGTGCTGTCAGTTTTCTTGGGAAGAATGTTCCCACTACTTAATGGAAAAGGCCTGGAAACCTTCACCCCACCCACCGGGCTGGGTTGGCTGTCCTTCCCTTGTGTTTCCATAGCAAGTGATTCCATAGCATGTATCAAATTAGATTGTCCGCTTTTGTGTCTGTCTTCTCCACTTCAGTGTGCACTCTTCAAGGAATTGTATAATTATTGATTTTTGTAACATAGAGCTTAGCATAGTGCCTGGTATTTAGGCACATGAGATTTATTAAATCCATTAGAATAAATAAATTAATGGAGATAAAGGTGTTCTTGAGGCATGTTTCGGTCTAGGGTTATTGCTCTGCTTGGCCAGTTGTCAATATTTGGGGGCTATGGTAAGGCTTGGAAGCAAAAATAGGAATGCTTCTTTTAGTTTTATTATGAAATCAATACACATTGTGGAAGTTGCTTAGCCTTTAAAATATCAGTCTAAAAAATAATTGGTTAATTAAAGGGGGACCTTAATTCTCTTGAGGTTAGCTATCAAATTGTAGCTGTAGGCAAAATTGGACTGTATTTGCTTGTTGAAGCTGTGGCTACCCGGTGACCTTTAGAAGAAAACAGAAAACAGGAGAAGCAAGGCTAGCTTCTTGGGTGTACAACTAGTGCCGTCACACAGGGCGCTCCACTCAGAAGGGCTCTGTGCTTGGGGTGCAGTGCTCTGTGGTTGCTATCTTGAAATTCTTGATAATTTTATTTTTGAATTTGTGTTTCTGTAAGTGAAGTCTAGTGGGACAATGGAGCATGTCCAGGAGCGTGGAGCCCTGCCTCCCTGGGACAGATGATGCTCTCCCACCTCCTGGTACCCTGTTCCTGCCTAGCCTGCCCCCATCCTCACCATTAAGCAACCACTATCACCCTCTGTCCCTAGTGGAAGTCTGGGTGCAGGGAGGGCCTGGGTCCACCATGCACACCCCTTGGTGTCTCAGTGCAAGGCATGGTGGTGGTTATTCTCCCTGGGCTGGCAGCTCCATAATGCTTTCAACAGGTGACTCAGTGCCCCTCATCCACTCCTGATCCAGGTACTGAGTGTGTCCCAATGCAGAGGTTGCAATCCCCTGGGGTGGTCTGTCCACAGTGGGTTGGGTAGCATGCCCCATTGCAAGGGGAATGGCTTGACTTTACTGCCCCTGGCGCAGATACTCTTGGTCCAGCAGCTGGTGGTAGGGGGAACCCCCTAGCTGGTGGGCTGCACATTTATGCCAAGCCATGGGTCAGGGCCTCAGGTGCCTGTGAGGGTCTGTACTATCCTGGTGAGTATCTCTGTACTCAAGGCAGCATGGCATTAAATAGCAAATAAAAAATACCATGATAGTTTGAGTGAGAGAGATGACGGAAGAAAGGAAAAGTTTTATATTTTAGTACCTTTAATGGCACTTTTATCCCACTTTTTGAATCAGGAGCCCTATATTCTTATTTTTGATCGGGCCCTGCAAATTATATAGCTGGCCCTGAATAGAACATAGTCACAAGGCATATAGAAAAAGGAGAATCTTGGTCATTCTGCAGCTAGCTCTCTCCAGGGGGAGAGAGTGTGGTCAGTTTACTTGGATTCTTTTAAGAATAACATCTCCTTAGCTGTTTTGTCTGAAGTATACTTTGTAAGGGCCTCTAAATCCCTTTTTCTATCATTTCAGTGTTCACCAAAACAATCATGTGATTATCGTTTGCCTCCCATGATCTTAACTCTGGGAGAGAATGTCGGGATCAAGTGAACTTTATTTTCTCATACCTAATGCTTAATAGTTTTCTAATACCTTATGTCTCATAAAAGATAGTTGTCTTTTATTGTAAACTAAACTAATTGATGTTTTCATTTTCTATATTGGTCTGTACGCTTGTTTTATGAAAGTCCACCTTTGAAGATGCATCCCGCTTGGCGGGATGCCACAAGTAGGTTTCTGAGCTTTCAAGCTTGAGGGCTGAAACTTGACCCTGAGGGTCATTAATCCCAGAAAGGAGCAACACCCTGTGAGGTCTCTCAGGAGGTGGTCTGCCACTGATTTCCTCTGTGAGTGTGTCCACAACATCGCCGTGTGGCCGGGTACCGATGTGCTTATTTTTCCAAAGCATTTGTGTTCTGGGCACAAATAACAGCTGTGAAGCTTATTCAGGCCTTGAACAGAACCAGCCTAAGTGCACCTCTTTGGGCAGCACCTAATAAGCCTGTGGCTTCTAAATAGGATGGAATTAATATGTAATTGAAAAGGTCAGGGAAACCAGGCTAAAATTGTGATCGTCTACCTAATTTTAGACATAAGAAACAAGTTTGTGGTCTTCAAAAGATCTTTTAAAAAACATTTGCTGCCAAACACCTGCTCTACCATATGCCACTAGTTCTTAAGTAATCCTGAAAGCAGGGATGGGATATTACAGAAGAGTTTAATTATGAATGCAAAACCTTCCTGAAACTTGCTACTGAAAGCTTTTCAGTGTCTACTGCCTGCAAGAGATGGGTCATGACTGGAGAGACTGCAAAGGGCTAAAATTAAATCCTTTATTTCCTCCCAAATAAAGTGTTTATTCTCAAATTCGTGTCAAAAACATTTCTTGAGTACAAGTGCTTAATAAGTACCCTGCACATATGTCTTTGTACATAGGTATTATGTACAGTGACCCCGTTGAGCCAAGCATGGAGGAGAAACACGAGTAAGAGTCAGACGTTTTGCTTATGTAGCCAACACACAGTAGAGAGGATGTTTTGGGCAGGACTCTGTGGTTGCGAGGGACCTCGAACTTGCTTAATCAAGAACAGAATCTTTTTTACTCTGTAACTGAAAGCTCTGGGGACTGGACTAGGTTTTGCATGGCACGATGCAGGCGTCAGAGAGTGTCTCTCCCCTTCAGCTCCATATCTGGCAGCCCATCCAGCTTTCCATCCTCCCTCGGCAGTGCTTTTCCTGGTCCCTGAAGGAAAGCGGGGCCAGATTCTGAGAGAGTTCTGTGGTCTCCACTTGTGTAACGTGCACATCCCAGAAGCCCTCACTGTGGCTGAGGGATGGAATGTGCTGACTGCTGAGCTGGACCCTCTGCGGTGCCCCTGGGGCTCAGACGAGGCCTCGTCTTACTCTAATGGACTGAGAATGAGGGGGCAGTGTGTCCCCAAACAGAAATCAGGCTTTTATCACATGTAGAACAACCCAAACACCACATTTTTCCTCTGTTGTAGTTAAGTGAATACAAAAATAAGTATATTAAGATACTAAAGTACACAGTACTGTGTGTGCAGGGAGGTGAAAGGAGAAAGGAATCTTAAGTTGGGGAAGTTGGAAAAGCTTTGTGGGTGGGACCCCCAAAACTGATGCGTTTGGTTAGAAATGTGGAAAGGAAGACATTTCAGGCAGAACCATCTCTTTTATTGGGGAGAAATGGGGAAAGCACGTGGCTGAGATGGGAACCAGGTTGGGAGGAATACACAGATTGGAGAATAGATATTTTGAGAGGAGTAACAGTTTGTGTGGTGGGGAAAACTTTTGTGGGTGTGTTGGCAAAGGTCTCAAATGCCGGGTAAGCAGTAGGAAGTCCTTGAAATGTTTCTCAGCGCTGGCAATATACAAATAAAGCTGCGATTAAGACAGACCAGGAGGTGATTCAGGTCGCACTGAAGTAGGGGGACCAGTTAAGACCGTCTTAGTCCTTCAGATGAGAGGATGGTACCGGGAATGGAAAGATGGGGCAAGATGGAAAAGAAAGGGTGGGTCTGGGAGGAAGAGTCGAACATAACTCAAAGCTCTTGAGGCAGGTTTATATTTATAGAAATAAGGAAGCCTGGAGAGGGAGCTAGTGGAGGAAGAGGAGAGAGATCCAGAGTTTGTCCTTGGAAATATTGAGTCCTGCGTCAACACAGCGTAGTGTGCTCGGTTAAGCATTGGATGGAGACTCAGGCAATGGACCAGAGTGAGTAGCTGTGGCTCAGAGACCCAGTGATTCCCAGAGGCAGTCTGAGAAATGTGTTGAGGCAATTTGGATTTTGAATATGCTCCTGAGATTTAGTGGACATTGCTGCAGTACTCGAGGCGTCCCGCATAAGGAAGAGCTGTTCTACCCACATGTCAGTTGCACTTCCCGTTCAGAAGGTTCAGAACGCCTTCCTGATGATGGCAGTCAAGGCGCGTGCAGTCTTGTTGGCAAGCATAAATTCCTACTGCTTGTGGTTTTTATGTCTGTAATGGAGTGATGAATATTATGCCAAGGGCTGCAGGTGCTTTTGGGATTTGACTCCCACTTTCCCTTTGAGAGAGACGGGGAAGATGTATGTCTGAGATGGAGCTGGAAGTGATGTGGAACCCCCTGGATTCACTTCCTTCTTCTACTACCAACTTGTACGTGCTGACAGTGGTCAGTTTTCTGCACTGTTGCTTTGTCGTCCATTACGTAGGACAAGGAGGGGCTGGCTTTGTGCCTGAGTAATAATATCCTAGTGCAATGAGTTTATGTTCTACTATATTATGGCCCATTCCCAATTATTTGAGGCTGAATTATGTACCCTTGTCTTTGGCCCTGACATTGGCTGTGTTCCTTGTCACTAATTGGGGTTCCAGTGGGTGTTCTAATGGGTGCTTCCTGACCCCATCTTTCTCTTGAGATGAAATCCAATAATCATCGTTTGTTATAAGATGGCCCTCTTGTATATCCCACTATTTAGCGGTTGTCTTTGCCATAGCCAGGCTACTGTCCTTTCTTATAGTTGCTAACAGTGAGTTTCTATTTGGTGGTACAAATCAGTACAGGATTTCCCAAGAATTGAGCAAGTGGGATGAAGGCAGCTTTCTGGTGTCTCACACTGCCCTGTTCTCAGTTGCAGGGCTGGGTTGCTGTTCTGGAATGAGTTGGGATCTCCTCTGATACTTCTGACATGTATTTTTCTGATACTATTCTTTATGAAAATATTTATGGGGATTAGGTAAAAAGCAACTGTTGAGAATAAAGTTAAAATGAATAGCAATAGTAATAGTAACAACAATAATTACTCCCCCTCGACATACCTTTTATCCCCCTTCTGGTTAGTGAGTATGAACAACAGAGTGTTCAGACTTACTTTACAGAACCATATAGTCAAACGACAGTGATGGCAGAGCTATAGGCGAGATAAAGTCTGCTTTTTAGGTTACTGACCAGCAGGAAAAGTAAAGACACTGCTTGCCAGCCACCAGGAGACCTGTCTGTGGACATGTGTCCGTTTTTACAAGAGCCGTGGGGAGCTGCACAGGATTGCAGCTGAGCTTTCTGCTCCCCGGTCTGCCTGCTAATCCTTGCTGCTCCTTAGAGCCTCGGTCAGCTCTCCCCTTTGCCTGGAGCCCTCCTGTCACCAGGGACACTCTGATTTCTCCTTTTTAATTTCCTGCTGCTTCTGTTTCTCACAAGCCGGTGCCTGAATCTCACCGGAGGCTTGTTCGCGAAGGGGACTTGTGTCCTCCCTGAGGTGCTCAGCTCCTGCAGGACAGGGGTGGCCTCAGCCCTCGCTCCCTTTCAGACTATCAGGCAGGCGGTGAGAGCTTAGTCTCTGCTTGTCAGTTTTATTCAGATTTCATTTTAAAGGAGTATGAAGATTCATTCAGATTTTTTTTAATTCTCTTTGAAGAGAATTAAAGGAAAATCAATTAATAGCACAGACTTTGTATTAGATTATGGCACTATGGAGAATGAAACCGTCTGGGACATTTGAAGGGATTTTGAGATTAAATGCATTCTGCATCCCATTTAGAATTTTTCCTCCAGAAGCACTTGAAAGCCAAGAAAGAGGAAGAAATGCTGTCTTTATCTTAAAAGTCATACAAGATTTGCTATAAATGGTCTATTAACTTTTAACTTTAGTAAGGAAATTTAGATTGAGTTTGATTTTTTTTTAATGGTAGCAATTTGATGAATTGAATAGACCAGAATTCTTATTAGATGGCTGCTAGAAAAATACTCATTACAACCTTCTTCCACTCATTAAATATGGGCAAATTTCTCTTTTTCATATCTTCACTTAGCTTTTACTTTTAATGAGTTGAGAATATGATATTATTTCTATCTGGACCTTTTTCATTTCCTTCAGGGGAAAAACTCAATCTTTTACTGTTCAGAATTCTACTTTCCTATACAAGTTGTAAGCCCTCCTTCCTTCTTTTCTGGGTTTGTCAGTAACCAAATTAGATAATGGACCCATATGAAACCAGTGAGAGCTTTGGATAAAATGTAAATTAATTATTTTCTTTTTAGATTTTTAGCTATTTAGCATCTTGTAGATTAAAAACCTCTACTTGATAGTTGCTAACTGAATTTTTTCATAATGGCTCTGTGAGAAGGATTGAAAAATAATACCCAATTTGGTAAGGATGCGGCAAAACAGGCCCATTCATACATTGATGGTGAGAATATAAATTAGGAAATGTGACCATAGGAAACACTCTCCAGATATGCCCCATGCTTATCTTATATGTGTCCTTAAATGATATCTTTTTATAAATTGCATTTATAAGACATCTCAGATGTAAGCAGAAATGAGGAAATGTTAGCCATTAGTTGAATATTGATACCTAACAATTTTTGAGAAATAACTTTGTGCCAGCTGCTGGTTTAAGCATTTTGCATGTATCATTTTACTTATTTGCCCCCCAAAACTAATGATAGTTGTGCTATTGTCACCTGCCTTTTTTTTCATAGGGAAACTGAGACACAGAGAAGTTATGCAACTTGCTAAAGTGATAGAGCCAGAAGTGGAACCCAGGCCACTTGACTCCAGGGTTACTACAGCACATGGGTTTTTTCTGGGTGGGGGAATGTGTTGAGAAAGTCTATGCTAGAGAGACATGGTGAGGGATTAAAGGGTCCCAGGTTGGGAAAATGTGGGAGGGGGTTTGATGACAAAGGCAGAATAAGGATGGTCCTCAGACCAGCTGTGGGTTTGCTGAAATGCTCTTTTTCTGTAGCAGCACCTGGGCTTGCCTTTTGAAACCTCCCTTCTTCGGGACGCCGGAGGTGGGCCTATGACCCGGCCTGGGCCAATCAGAGAAGTCCTTGCACCTCTCGGACCACAGTGATTGGTTCGAGGATGGCCAGATAACTCACACAAAGCCAATTAGAACTAATAAGTTTTCATTCCGGAAATTTTATTGTGACTCTTTACAAAGAGATGCTGTCTTTTCACTGGACTTAAAGCTGGAAAGATGTCAGCCTGGAGCTGCTGGCAGACATCTTGCCACTATTAAGGTAAGACCCTGCTAGAAAATGAGGATCATACAGAGAAAAGCAGAGGTGAGAGATGGAGAAAAAGAGATCAAGTTCTGATATATCTCCTGGATCTAGCTATGTCTAAAGATGTGACGTATGAGAGATCCACTCCTAGATTTTTCAGTATGTGAACCCACTTTTTTCCCCCTTCTGCCTCATCTCCCCTGTCCTCTCCCCTCCCTTTTTTTCTCCTCCTCTCCCCTCCCATTATAGGTGAGTTGGGGCTGTGTTGCCTGGGGATCTTCTGAGCCTCTCAGAGCCAACCATTGAGAAAGGACTTTGGTCATTGATGCTCTCTGGGAGGCAGAGCTGTGGAACCGTGCACCAAGCCAGTGTTGGCATCAGAGAAATCTGTAAGCTGTGAAGACCCATCCATGATAAGTCCCCTCTCCCTAGGTCCAAAGAGTGGGGTGGGAGTATGCTACATACCATGTTTTCTGAATTGAACATAATTCTAATAAATGGGCCTCTGCTTTGAAAGCCTTAATGTTAGAGTGGTTAATTTGCTTAGTCTCGTGCACTTGAGGGAAGAAACTAGAAATCCCAGCAAATGCTTTCATCAGAAACATATTTATCCTGTGATATCCTATTACGTCCTACAATGTACCTTGTAGGAGTCAAATCCTAAACACGTAGTCAGCACGGGAGACAGGGTGGGAATTCTTTGATAAATCTTTCCATTATCAGATGTGAAATGACGGATAGCTTTCTCTCTAAGCTTTGTGCTTTTTCTAGAGATGTGTAGCTGTCTTGCAAGTCACAAAATCGAGGTCTGTATAAATTGGTACTACTGAAGGCCTATGACCTTTAGTAAGATTTTCTGAGCTAGCATCCAAATGAATGTTTGTGAGGGATTCTTTGAGAAGGCTCTCTTTTGCCTAGTATGGGAACATTATTATTAAAGTGCACACTTCCCTATCAAATATATTAATTTCCCTCAGTTCATGGCTTAATGATATTTGTAGTATCTACCCACCTCTACTGCAGGCCTTTATGGGAGCTGGCTGATGTGCTCTTTCTTACATTGTCTACTCATTGTTAAATTGGTAAATGATACATCATTTCATTTTCACTCAAAGGCATATTTAAATTCTTTATTATACGTTTAGTGAAACTATATCCTTTTTATTATGAATTCAGTTGGCAGTAACTGAGATCACTAGCTTAAAGGCCAAGTAGTTTATTTTAACATGCGGCTTCTTTGAATAGTTATTTATAGTAAGATGATACTACTGGATTTTATATAGTTTATTTCGTGGGAGAATCACACTCCGACCTAAAGGGTGTGTGCAACAAATAGTCTTTTCTGGCTCCTGAAGTTGGTTCTGGAAAAATTTTAGCTGCATTGTTAGGCAAGATCCCACACCCTCACCCACATTTTCTGGTGATGTGCCATTTTCTAAATAGGTCCTGCCTGTTCCAAAATGAGTATCAGTAGCTGGCAGCAGTTGGAGAATGTTAATTGAGCTCTTGTGTTAAAGAGTGGCACTCAGTTTCCTAGATTGTGCCCTGTTCCCCTGTGGGTTTTCCAAATGATTTCTTTCCTTTTCCCTTGTGTGTTAAATAAAACATTCAGCACTAATAAATCCAGACCTTGTGCTGCACTGGTTGACATTTATGTCCACCTTTGTCTTGAAGCTGGTTGTAAAATTTGATCCGTACAAAGTTGGCAGACATAGTCTGTTCTCAGACCGCAGTTTTAATCATCTGGTTCAAGAAAGTTATCACTAATAAATTCTCTCTTAAAAATCCAGTCCTCCCCTAAAATTCCTGTTTTAACCTCCAGGGTTTGGGTATAGGTTATTGGATGGGTGATTCTTAAAGTCAATTAATTGTCGTCTTGAAGAGTGGTTTCTAAACTTTTTTGATCTTGCACCCAGGTCAGTGAAAATTTATTTGTACATGATATACACTTACCATTGTGAAAGAACACATTATAAATTATATGTTACATAAATTAAGATAAATAATTTACACTTGGGTCTGTTATGTATATTATACAATGGACAAAACCTAGGGATCAAAAGGATTTTATGAGAAAAAAGTTTTAATATTTTCTTTTTGAGCCCAGTGCACCTTGCTTTAGAGACCACTGATTTAGAAAGCAGAAGATAATTCAGTGCACCCAAATGGTTCTTTTTGAGCTATACCACTAATCCCAGTTTGATGTTTTTGAAGGATGTATTTTTTAGTAAACTTCCGAATGAATTTAACTTGAATACAACTTCTGGTCACAATTAATTTCTATCAATTCTCTATTAAGGGAATGTGGTTACCAGTTCACCAAGACGAGGTCTTAAAATTTTATTATGAAGTGTTTGACATACAAAAAAATATAACATGTAATATAACAAACATCCATATTTTTATCTACTACCTTAAAAAATAAAATAGTACCTTTCTCCTGAAGAGGGATCCACTCCCCTGAATTTGCTGTTTCTTATTCCCATGCAATTATGGACCTATGTTTGGGTCCCAAACAATGAGTTATTGTCTTGCATGTTTTAAATTTTATGCAAAACATGCATACAATATGTAGTATGTATTTGTCCACAGCTTCCCCCCTCTGTACATGTTGATTATGGATAACTCTAATTCATTCATTCCCACAGCTGTATAATATTCTAAAGTTTGAAAATGCCACCGTTTATCTATCTATTCTTCTGTAAGCAACATTTAGTTTGTCTCTCCCCCCCCCCCTTTTTTTTATTATGAATAATCCTGGTCGAGATTTTTAAAGTGAACATTGGTTAAGCTTTTCCTAGGATGTACCTAGGACCAGAAGTGCTGAATTGTCGGGTGTGCATCTGTTTGTGTTTACACAATATTCCCCACCAGTGCATAGATGAATTCCCCTGACTTCTTATCCTTACACCTGGTATGGTCAGACTATTTAATTTTTGCCAGTTTGATGGACGTGAAATGATATCTCATTGTGGCTTTAATTTATCTTTTCGTAATATGTTTATTGGCTATTGAGATTACATTTTCTGTAAATTGCTTATTGAGGTATTTTGCCCAGCTTTCTATTTTTTAATTTACTGGCCACACACACACACACACACACACACACACACTGTGATTCAATGACCTTCAATAGAATATAGAACAGTTCTTCATTTTTCCTCTCAGGTCCGGCCCTGATATGGAATCATATCACACCCCACCCCTTTAAAAACCTCGTTGCTTCTCCTTTAAGGTGACATTACAGTGTAAACAAGCTGCGATTAACTTGCTAAAAGACATTTTGCAACCTAAAGGCTGTCGAGGAAGATGGGGTGGATAAATGTAGGAAAATACCAACAATGCAGGCTTCTGCAATTCCCTTGTGAACACTTGAGGCTTAGACGTGTGTGTTGATATGTGTGTATCATCCTGCCGTTGTTTCCTTCCTCTTCCAGCCCAGTTTCCAATGTTACAGATCTTGCTGACCCTGGAGTTATTTTGACCTACACGTTCATATCTAGGGAAAATCTGTGGCTGTAGAATGGAGATATTAACAACAAGCCATGTAAAAGTAGACTAGCGTAAAGCAGTGCTACTTAAAGTGTGGTCTGCGACGGGCGGCTTCCCATCACTTGATAGTTCATTAGAAATGCAGATTCTCAGGCCACACCCCAATCCTACTGACTCAGAGGCTGTATTTGAACAAGTCAAGTTTGAGAAGTTTTTCTTTCAAAAAGGAATCCCAGTCAAGGTTGACCTGCCTCCCTCAGTCTTCTTTCAAAGTAACTGGCGCGTGGGCGTGGGAGGGTGTTGACATCACTGTGCACAGAACAGACAACTTGAGGCTCTATGCGCGTGAGAGGTTCATTTTAGTTCATTTGTTAATTGAAAAACTCTTCTCTAAAGAAACAACTAGGGGAATGAAGGAGTTACGAGTAAAATATGTAGTGATGATTATTAGACTTTGTTGCTATCTGCTATTTTATAAAGAAATGGAAGCTTTTTAGCAGGAGAAGAGAATGTAGTTTTGTAACATGGATCACTTAGGGACTAGGCTAGGCCTGGATTGGAGGGGCTTGTAAGCAAAAGTCTAGAAAGCATGAAAATTATTTAGAAGAAGAGGAAATAGGAGGTGGGATCAAGGGAGCATCAAGGATCTTGCTCAGAAATGAGGAGAACACCTTCCCTTTTCTTGTTTCTATGTTAGAAGTTGTATTGCCGAGACCCACTTTTATTTTAACCTTTCAAGTTTAACCTGGTAAGTTAATTACTATTTCTGACATTGTTTCTATTGAACAATTTTCTACTGAGTAGCCCTTGTAGCCAGCCCTTGGTGGTCTAGTGGTTGAACGCCCGAGGCCTGGGTTCATTTCCCAGTCAGGCAACCACACGACACACAATGGCAGTCTGTCGGTTGTCATTCTTCGGTGGCTGTGTGTTGCTCTGATGCTGAAAGCTATGTCACTGATATTTCAAATACCAGCAGGGTCACCCATGTTGGACAGTTTCAGCAGTGCTTCCAGACTAAGACAGACTAGGAAGAAGGACCTGGCCACCCACTTCCGAAAAAATTGGCCATGAAAATCCTGTGAATAGCAACGGCGCTTTGTCTGCTAGAGAGCTGGAAGGTGAGAGGATGGTTCAAACAGACCAGGCAGCGTTCCACTCTGCTGTCCACAGGGTCGCTAGGGGTCAGAATCCACTCGAGGGCACTAACAGCAACAACCCTAATGGACCTAGAGCCGACTGGGGTTATACACACACATAGCAGCCATTTCCTGCACTTAGTGCCCATAGAGCCTAGGAAGAGAGTCAGATGTGGAACCAAAGCTATAACAAAGTTAATAGAAAGTGCAATAATAAAAGTATTGAAACTGAGCCTCAGTGTCTTCCTGAAGTCTTATAGGATTACTGTGAGGATTTAATGAGATCTGCAAAAAGGCCCAACAAAAGTTCTCAGTAAATAGCAGCCACTCCTTCTCCTCTTCCTTCCTCCTGTCCCACTAGTCCCATCTCAAACAGTTTGGTTCCCGAGTCTATAGAGATTAGTACTAAGAGGTTAGCAGTAAGAATAGTAGTAGTGGTGGAAGTGTTGATGAGGTGCAAAGATAGGGAAGAAGTGATTTTCTGTGGGAAGAGACATTTGGGGTTCCAAGTGAATGGCTTGAAGAATGCACATGCATAGCTTTTCTAAGTGTTGAAGATGAGGATCATCTTCATTTAAATTCCAATAATTCACAACTTGCTGAAGATAAAGACTAGGCTGAAATTTATCCTAACCCATTTTTTTGGGGGAAGCCCTAGGACAAGCTTTATGAGGCAAAGGGACCTCAGCTGTTACTTGTTATGTCCCAGCAGGAGGCAGAGTCACCAGGTGACATGCCAGCATGCTCAGTAGCAGTGTGAG